GTCCACTCATGTCTGTCCATTCATGTCTCAGTCCATTCATGTCTGTCCATTCATGTCTGTCCATTCATGTCTGTCCATTCATGTCTCTGTCCATTCATGTCTGTCCATTCATGTCTGTCCATTCATGTCTGTCCATTCATGTCTCTGTCCATCTGCAGTTCTTGCGGCTGGAGTTGGACCGGTGCTGTGGTGTCTTTGACTGGTCCACGGTCCGACAGGTGGATGCTGCTGGTCTGCTGAAGCTTTTCATCAGAGAGCTACCAACACCACTGCTGACGGACACACACCTGTCCACTTTTCGCACAGTGCTCAGTGCGTGCACACACACAAACACACATACGTCCTGGCATGAAAGAAGCATGTTGTTTGACATGTCCTGGTGTGTCCCTGTAGGCATGTCAACTGAGGTCCATAAGGTCCAGGCTCTGCAGCTGCTTCTGCTCCTGCTTCCTGAAGCTAACAGAGACGTTCTGAGAGTAAAATCCACCTTAACCTGGATCTGCTGCTGTCCACCTTAAATTTATTCAAACATTCATGATCAACTCTCCGTGGTTACAGGCCCTGCTGGTCTTCCTCCGTAAGGTGGTGTCTCATCAGGACCAGAACCGGATGTCTTTGTGGAACGTGTCCATGGTAATGGCTCCCAACCTGTTCACTCGTTGTCACCGTGGAAACAGATCCTCACACACCAAACAACGAGAGGAGATAGAGGAGGCAGTGGGCGGGGCTCACCTGATTGAACTAATGATCAGACACCAAGACCTGCTGTGGACCGTGAGTCTCATCACCCCCACTGGACCTCTGTGACATCACCATGCTCTGATACACCTTCCTGTTCCCATCATAGGTCCCCAACTTCCTGCTGTCTCAGCTGAGACATTTGAACCAGGCGTCCAATCAAAAACAGCTGAACCTGAGCAGGACCGCATCCCGACTGCTGAGGAGGAGAAACGACCGGAACCAGGTGAGACTGAGACCAGCACCAGAGACAGGTGAGACTGAGAGCAGAACATGAGACAGGTGAGACTGAGACCAGAACCAGAGACAGGTGAGACTGAGAGCAGAACATGAGACAGGTGAGACTGAGACCAGAACCAGAGACAGGTGAGACTGAGAGCAGAACATGAGACAGGTGAGACTGAGACCAGAACCAGAGACAGGTGAGACTGAG